CATATATAATACAGATAATCTTGATTTGGATGCCCTTTTAGGCTTTCTCACAAAGTGTAGATTTTGGGGGCCTTTGAATTGCTTCACATTTTCCAGCTGGGTCTTTTCCCCCTCCCAACAAACCTTTCGCAAGATTTTGTTGATTTCTCGTTATTTACTCTCCAGATTTTGTCTGTGGGATATGATTGATGACATACCATCTATGAATCGATTTTCCCCTTTAAATCCCAAGATTTTTTCATTTTGATGGCTCAGAAGGGAAAATGGCCCAAGATGAACATTTTGTGAGCAGTAGCAATAGTGGCGGCGATGGAGGAGCTGGTGGTGCCGGCAGCGCCGGCGCCGGCACCGGCAACAACAGATCAAAAACCCCAAAGCCGAAAAAGGTCCCACAGAGAGGATTAGGGGTTGCCCAGCTCGAAAAGCTTAGGATAGAGGAGCAAAGAAAAAAGGAAGCTTTGCTGGCTGCAAATGTTCTTGCTAATAACGCGATTGGGCCTGGCAACGAGTCCCTTCAGGCCCAGAACATTGGCGGAGGACCAACTCCTAAGTCCCTCAGCCCGTTGGGCCCGGCCCATATGACGAGTGATTGTGGTGAGCATACATTGTGGAGTGGAGAGTGTAATAGCAGTCTTGGAGAAGGAGGAATGGAGAATCAAAAAGTTGTCGTTGATAATGCTGGATTTTTGTTTGGTGGTCCCCAAGTTAATGTTAATTTGCGAAGGCCGTACCAATTTCAAAGGCCTCCTTCTCAAATGGTTAGTTTGAGTTTGAGCCCTGTCCTTATCAAGAAATGTTGGGCAAAGTTATCGATATTTATTTTATTGTTTTGATATATGGTTGGTTTTGTTTCCTATATATGTGGATTGTGATATAAGCATAGCAAGTTCTTGGTGAATTTCCGTTAGTTGAATTGAATTGTTCGTTTCTTTGTATTTTTACTGATTGTAAAACAATTTCAGATGAATGTGTCTAGTGGGAATTCACCACCACCTATATCGAGTTCTCAAATAGAGCCCCCTTCAATTCAAAATGTTCGTGGTAATAACTATACACCATCGTGGCCTGAGGATGATAAGGTACTACACATTGTTGTTGTTCATTCATCCACCGACTTATTTCAAGAAAAACTAACTGTTCTTTATTTGACTTGTTAGCCTAAAATGATCTTATACAATATAGTGTCTTGAGCATGAAAATACAGAAGTTTATGAGTATTTGTGTCTTGATTCATAGTATTATGTCATGAATAATGTTGCTTTTCTAGAAAATGCTATGTGAACTTCCCTTATCAAGAAATTAAGTTTATTTATAGTGTGTTTTTCTAAAAATTAAGTCCATTTTATTCTGAATGCAATATGTGTAGATTGTTGGCATCAAGAGGTTGTACCCTTTCTCTCTAGAAGGCCCGCCAATCCCTTCTTTCCTGGGCGGCAATTTTCACACTACATACGGTGAATTAGCTTCGTGTAGCAATGAACCAAGAAACAAATACACAAGGTTTGTTTCATTTGACATATGCATATTATTCTTACAACTTTTAAAGATTGTCGAACTCCCAATTTTTTTTATGTTTTGGCTCTGCTAATAATGTTTTTTTTTTGTTCGATTTTTTTGTTCTGCAGAGATTGTGCTTCAAACTCAACCCTGTCCGTGCAGAACCCAAGTGAAGATGAGAGGCTAATTGGAGGTTTTCTAAGTTTGGCACCGCCTTCGAACACAAAGAACAAGCATCAGCCGTTGGATCTCTTGGGCCATAATCATCAAGGGCCGAATTTATCGGATTACAAAAGCTTGTCTACTCAGGTATTGCAAAATTTTCTTGAAATTGGGCAGTTTGTTGAATGACATGCAAGTATGAATGAGAAGTGAACATTTTTTTATTCTATGGTTGTGAAAAAATGGCGATATTGTTAAGGGGTAATTGTTCTATCTGTGATTTCAAAGACAAATGAGCTTTTTCTATAATTTGAAATTGGAAAGGCATGTAATCATTCATCATCTTTGTTGTGCAAACTGCAAACAACTTCAATAGGAAAACATCAAAAGCAGCCAAAGTCACCAGCTGGGAACAAGCTCGTCAAAAGAACAGGCTTTCACCTTTTTCCCAATTAAGTCGCAAACAGAGAATTCGAGAAATGGCAATGGGGACAAGGGAGAAAAACTTGATCTGAATCTGAAGCTATAGATTGGTTTTTTTGCTTACTCTTGTAATGGACAAACTTGTAATTCTGCAACTTTAGAAGAAGCTTGCTCATGTGACTTAACTTGTGTGAAACGATCTTATTTGTTTTTCGTTCNNNNAATGATGGTTGTTAATCGTCATGTCGTTTTACTTTGTTCTTGTGCTAGGCAGGCCTTTTTGGACATGGTGAACGAGAGAAAGACAAGAAAATAGGAAAATGTTGTGTCTTTTTTTCTTGCATGGTATTTTTAGGTTATTAAACTTCTACTTGTTACAGCTATCAACATGTTAAAGTGTTTCTGGGTTTTATGATCATGCACTAGGGTTAAGTCTGGGGATTCAACCTACCGATTATTTCAACCTTCCGGTTTTTTTACCATGTATTTGTTTATTGATCCAACTGTAAAAAAACCCGATGACTGGAAATATGATGAATCTCCAAGTTGAGAACCTTAATTAGATATAACTTCTGCATTATGAATCAAGGAGTGAATTGATGTAAGAATGTGGAACTGGACATTTGAATAATAGAATGAATAACAGTCCTTTTGAGATTTTAACAAAATTTGGTGTATGCAGTTTGAATCTTTTTAGGACTTTTAAATGTTAGGAATGTCTTTTTTAGATTTTAAAAAGGCTACAAAATGTCTAAGTTATTCAATTTATTTACCAAATATTTATATTTATTTAGGTTAGAACTTATTGAGATTTGAAATATAAATAGGTTTAGCTTATTGGCATTTAAAATATAAAATATATATACCAAATATAAAATATTTTACTAAATATAAAAAAAAATAAGANTTTTTTTAAAAAAAAAAAAAAGTACTAATTCTATTAATTCAGTTTTATGCGTTCTCATTTTTAAAAGACAGAACACATAACAAACGCTTTTTACTTCCAAACAACAAAACCGTAGATAATTGGCTAAAATCGTCCTTTTCCTATCCTCCCTTCTCCTCTTATCTACAAGAATCAAAGAACATCCAAAACAGCTCGAGAGAAAACATACTCGAGCAACAATGGCTTCCTTACATTCTCTCCCCACATGCTCTCTCATGGTCTCTAATCGCCCGGTCTCTGAAATCCGCTCCCCATCCCCCAATTTTCTCCGCCCCTTGAAATCGAGTGGTCTCTCCAAAGCCCCGCCGCTGAGGAGGCGGGCGAGCTTCCGGATAGCGGTTTCCGACGTGGCAGAGGAGTTCGATTTCTCGCTATTCGATATCGATTTAGAAGATGTCGACGATTTCGACGATGATGAGCTGGATGTTCCCGACTGGGGATTTCCGACGATGGAGGATGCGGAGGAGCCGGAGTGCCCGCCGGGACTCAGGAAGTACGAGACCATGATGGTGCTGAGGCCAGATATGTCCGAGGACGAGCGGCTTGCCTTGACCCAGAAGTATGAAGAGGTAATTTCCTTCACTCTGTTATCTCGATTTTTTACGCACAATTGTTTAATTTTTGAGTTTTTGAGTTTTTTGTGGTGAAACTTTTGAGAATTTTGATTTGTGTTCTTGTGGCTGTGGGATGAAAATTGAACTGTGAACTTCTGTTCAGAGATTTTTTGTTTAATTATTTTTTTGTGGGATTTTTCATCTCAGAGTTCATTTTAGGATCCTAATTCCAGCTCACTGGCAAATGGGTATAAGGATGATAAGAAAAAGGTTTGAGCTTTTTCAAATAGATGGGTTAACTTGATGTGGTTTGGAATATGGCAGTGTATCTTATTTCCCCTCAATTGTTTATATTTTTCCTGCATTTTTTGTTTTTTTTTTCGTGGTGAAATTTTCTAGAATTTTGATTTGTGTTCTTGTGGCTGTTAGTTGAAAATTGAAATGTGAGTTTCTGTTCTGAGTTTTCACTTTATTATTTGTTTTTGGGATCTTTTTCGTCTGTGTTAAATCTAGGATCTTAATTGTAGCTCAAAGCTAAATTGGTATATGGATGATGAGAGAAAATGTTTGAGCTTAGAAAAATGTTATCTGTGAGAATTCATAAATATGCATTTCTTGATGAAAAATTTACTGAAATTAGTAGAGAAATGTAGATATGCTTGCTCGTTGAAGAACCGCACGAAAATGACGATTACCTTCACATCAGTGAGATTAATGGAGAATCACATTCTTGCTGAAAAGTTTAATTTTTTTTATTGATTCTTCCTAAAGAAAAATATTTGTGTTGGGTTTGGAGCTTATGTCTATGATCTTGAAAAGTTTACTAAAATTGATTTAAATTTTAATGGTGTGTATTATTTTGTTTTCTATGAATGCATTGTTGAAAATTGATTTTTTTTTTTTTTCTCGTGCAGTTGCTGGTGGCTGGTGGTGGAATGTACGTGGAGGTTTTCAACAGAGGCATAATCCCGCTGGCCTACGACATCATGAGGAAAAATAAGGATGGCGAAACAAACACTTACATGGATGGTATTTACCTTCTCTTCAAATATTTCACCAAGCCCGAGTCCATTTCCATTCTGAAAGAGACTGCGCAAGCCGATGATAATGTTCTTAGATCATCTACTTCCAAGGTACGAAAGAGGAAATTGTTCTAAGGATTGTATATTGTGTTTCTTTTGGGCCTTCGAATCAAGGTGTTCCATGCTTTGTAGAACTAGATTTTGTGCTTCTTTTGTTTTCCATTTGAATTGGGTAAATTTCGACAAAGCTTGGTTTAGAGGTAAAATGAGGTCGAAAGGTAATGAGAGTGTGAGTAAGCCGACGTGCATGTGTTCGTCATGCTTTTGTTGTAATTTTATGGATCGCGTATTTCTTTTTTCTTTTTCGATATGACATTAACATTGATTAATTCTACCTACACTTGCAAAGACTTCGAGTTTGAGGTTGTAATTGCTTGGCCTTTGTTTCAAAGTACATATGAGATGAAAATGTAATGTTGATGATTGATGTCATTAACTTCTAGTGATTATACCAATTACCTCCTTTTCATCAATTAGAAGATCCTCATGTTCTATACACCAAATGGGGGGGAATCATGTTATTTGTAATTTAAGCACTCGAGGACCCGAGCAAATACACACATCGATCTCTACCTACGACCAGCCAAACACATAGTCTAGAACATAAACGAGCGCCAGTGAGAACGGGTATAGCAAGAAAGCCAACAATGCAGTCCAAATCGGGAAAGTCGTGCGTACACTAGCAAACACTCCCATCACAACACACACGATGAGGATAACGAGCACCTCGGATGAAAAGTCCCACACCAAACCCCTCACGTAAACGAGGGCCAAGAAGACAGATAGACAGAGCACGTTGTTCATGGTGACGGCACCGTACAGCTGAAAACGAACGAACGAGAAGTCGATAAACAAGACAGAGTGAAATTTAGGCCACAGGGACACTTTTAAAATGGGAAAAGCAAATTTACCTCGGAAAATGTTAACGAAGCAGATCTGAGTTTTTTCCGGCTGGCGAAAATGATGGCCGAGACCGCCTCACTCGAGTTGGTAGCCAACGGCAAAGCAATAAAAGAAATGAAGAAGGTAGGGATATTTGTGGCGTTTGAGAAATTATCGACAGCGTCAACAAGAGGATCTGCAAATGCAGCTGCAATGAGAGTTCCAATCAGCAGAAAAAGCACAGCTTTTAATGTAGTCCATTGAGGATTTTCGACACCCTCGACAATCTCGTCACTTTGTTCTCCCAGTCCCAGAAGGTCGTGCTCTCTCTTTGTTTGCTGCAAAAGAAGAAATTTTAACCACCTTACATATCGTGGTTAGAAAAATAATTGTGCATTTAAAAAATAATTGTGCATAGTAAAAGCTGTTAAACGAAAAAGTAACTGTAAAGCAATGTACCTGGTGGTATTCATCAATGTACTTCATTGAGCCACCAGCATTATGAGAAGCTTTGCCACCTTTGGCCTCCTCAAGCCATTTCCCAACTCCTTGAATAAATTCGGGCAGGTCGACTTGAGAGTCGAGGCTGATGTCGAAATCCCTCATCACTTTCTCCACAGCTTCATTCTCGTCCAAGTTGACCTCGTTAAACTGAATCCCAACAATCAGAGCTCGTAGTTCTGAGTGCGAGAGGTGACCATCGTTGTTTTCATCAATCGCTTTAAACAACCTGTGATTTACAAAGAATTTTAATAAGAAAACAGAAGAAAATAGGTAAAAAACAAAAAAAAGGTAGGGTAAACTGAGTGGTAAGAATTGGACTGGACTTACTTTGTCAAGACTTCATCATTAGGTCTCCCATCATCTGTGGAGAGTTTGCCAAGAGCACGCATTTTTAAATGCTTTAGGATTCCTGATATGACGTGCTTATGCTTTGCGTAAGCAAGTCGCCTTCTTTGAACCCATGGCTGGAACACCTGCAAATTTTGAAGATGATATTGAAATGTAAGTGAGACATTCTAATTAATTACACATAACGAGTGAGAATATCTTGGCAACACCAAAATGATTTCTCTTTCTTCATTTTGTTGAAACTTGAAAGCATACACCATGACATAAACATGGCATAACAGAAATTAACGATCATTCAGAGCTTCTGCTGAAGCAAAATAGGGGCAAACGAGAATATCATAAATGAGTTTTGTAGATAATAGAAACTCGAGCTATCACAACATAAACGATTTTTTTAGGGGCACATACTGAATTTGGCCATGATTTATCTTCAACTAAAACATGTTAAAGGTATACACAATCATAAAATATAAAATCCAGATAATGAATGAAGAATACAAAATCCAGCCTTTGGAATCCGCCGAGTACCTGGTACAGGCAATAGGATACCAAAAGCGAAGCAGATGCAATCAGGCCAATCAAGACAGTCAAGTGTCTTCCGGAGTTTATGTGCAAGATTTGAGGTAACTGGACAATTATGAAAGGAAACACAGATACAGCCATGATAATGCCTGCATAGCTCGTCCAAATGTCAGTAGTAATGCCAGAACCTGCACCGGCCAATAAAAGGGGATATATAAGTTTTTTTTTTTTTTTTTTGCAATTCTTTTACATTTATTCACACATACCACAAAACTTCATCAACTACACAACTAAGAATTGGAACTTTGGGAGAAAAGATGAGACAAACCACTCAAACTGAAGCCTTTCGTGTCTTGGGAGTCTATGGCAATATTATTTTCGATGTCACACTTCCCAACTAAAATGCAGGTACCCCAGATTACAGTGAGTAGCATGACAGTTGATCCAGCTAAAAGCCCCATTCCAACTGACACCTGGCTTTGAGCAACTTCGGGGCTTCCAGACAGCCCAGACACTGAAAATCAAAAGGAATCCAGCATCAGCACATATGAAGCCAAATAGGTGTGAATTTATCTCTTTCGTAATTTTATTATAACATGTGATGTTTTTTTTATTAAATTTGAATTTTTTTTTTTCACAAGAGGTTAGCTATACTGACTACTGAGCTACATGTTCATGGTCCAGCCAATTGAGTTTTACGGTCATTCATTCCAATAAAAAACAGGACAAAACAACGTGATCAAATCTCGATCAAACAACGTCAGCCGACGAAAAAAATCCTATGAGATATATGTTCCACCAATTCCCAAACCCTAGAACTCCAATTTTCATCTATTCTTCTCATAACAAGCCCCAATATTCACTCCAAACTCAACCCAGAGCGTAAATAAAAAAATACGCTACAATTTCGAGATAAAGAGAGAGGGAAATTGTTACCGAGAATAAGCATAGCATCAGGAAGCGCTCCGAGCATTGGAAGGAACAGCCCGCCGACGAGCCCCGGGCCGAGGATCTCGAGCAGGAGCTCGCTGCCCGTGGAGAGGTAAGTCGCGGCGAGGAACATCAGGTATCCGTACACCAGGATCAGAAAGAGGTTTCCGAGCGCGGTGGTGGTGCACGGCATGAAGCCGTAGGTCTGTTCGCAGGCGCCCACCTCCGCCGCCGCCGCCGGAAGGCGGATGAACGGCGAGAGCCCGGAGGCGCCGATTCCGTCTGAGAGGAGATCCGATTGGTCGGAGATAAATCGGCCGCAGGACAGGCCGAAGAGGATGAGGAAGGAGATGGTGGCTAGGAGGGGTCTGAGCTTTGGTTGGGTTCCGGTGGCCATGGCGGAAGCTTGGGACTGTACTCTGTGTGTGAGTGAGATCGAATTATCTATTTATAGGACTTAAATAGATAATTATGGATATTGTATAATTATATATTTGGTATTTAATCCGATGTCGTTTTACCGATATATTTTTCATTTCATTGAAGTTCAAAAAGGAAATGGATTTATGTAGTCAGAATCCACTAATCATTACTCGTATTCAACACGTACTTGAATAAATAACGTGCTTAAATAAATAAATATATAGATGAAGAAGATTATATAATCTAGAGCTGCAAATGAATCGAGCGATTTTCGAGTAATTAACGAGTGCTCGATTTAAGTTGGAGTATTTCAAATTGAAATTCGAGCTCAAGTTTTCCACCAAATGCTTGAATGTACGTAAAATTAAATAAATAGTCCTCAGATATTTTTTACATGAAAATTTTGAATCGAACTCAGAAAAACGTTGAGTCAATCACATATGAGCCGGTCTCGAATATTTGTATTTTGTTGTCGAGTCTAGTCGTGTCCGAGCACGGCAAACTCATCAAGTTCAATCTCGAGCTCTGGCAAGTGTAAACAATAGAGCATGACTCGATAAGGTCAATGTTTGACTCGACTTGGAATACCACAAAATTTTTCCTTATGTTCACACATAGCGTCTCAATTTCTATCCAATTACCAATTTGGCCCACCAATAAGGTTGAGTTGTCTCCTTTGTGTGAGGTAGTTGTGGGAAGTTGTGCAATTGGTCAGTCTGTTATTGAATGAATTGACAAAAACAAATAAATAAATGGGGAGATTTGAGATTAGGTCTCAACACGTTGTGAGGTTGACATTTGTAGACTTGGACGCTTGGTGACTACTTGTTTTTAATGTTTCATTTTAAAAAAAAAAAACCTTGGAGAATTGAAAGGTACTTCAAGGACATTAGTTATGTGTGATAAATATATAAGGAGTAACATATATATGAATAAGTAATTTGGATTTTACAGCATTATAACCGATACAATTTTCGGTCATTCATCATAATGTAAAATACAACCATAGTGGAAAATGTATGGAATATTTATATTTTTAAGTCATCTAAATTATCTTGAGATCAATACAATTAAAAGCATACATAGTACACATTTCCTCCATTATTCATCTTTGTTTGTTGGTATCTTTTAATTTCTCAAATTTTTTTGTAGTCTTGTAGACCAATTTACACCACTATTATGTTTACCATTTTATTTAATTTAATGTTATCGGACATTTTTATTTACTATTGATTAGAGTAGTTAAAAAAAACAAGCGACTCGTGAGCTTGACTCAATTTTAATAATATAATAAACGAGTTTGAGCTCGCAACTTGTTACTGAGCCTTAATAACTCGTAACAAGGCAGATACTTATTGAGCATTGAAAATAAAAATTTTAAAAGTTCAATTCATTAAAACTCAAATTTAATTTGTCAAAGTTCGAACTTGTCTCATTAATGATGATAAACAAGCCCAACTCAAATTCATTCATTGAATCATTTAAATAATGAACTAAGGGCTCGGCTTATGAAAGTCGAGCTCGAGCTTGACTTAAGTCAGTCACTTAACCCCTAAACTCCTTACAAACATTTGCTATAGGAAAAATTGTATACTCGTGTAGATATTTTTTTTTAAAAAAAAAAAAACAAAGTATAACCCAGTTGTCCTGGATATACTTATCTTCTTCACTCTTCATTTTAATGTGGTATGTAAATTTCCACATATCACAACATACTTTTCTCGTTATATTTGAAATCAAATTTTAAATTTAGAAATTGAATTCAAATATTTTAAAAGACAATTGCCGACCTGCCTCAATCATGTAGGTCAGTAGGTCCATTAATATGTAACAAGTCATTATGAATATATATAATCGACATAGCAAAAGACAATAAGACAGTGAATTCGAAATTTTGGTCAACACACTTCCAAAATGTCCGGACTCGAACGCGTGGGTGATAAATCATATATAGCACTTGATTTTGATGATTACTCGTAAAAGGTAAAACATCTATCTTGATGTCGTGTTCAATGTCCACCACAAATAATGCATGACTTCAAACGAATTAGTAATTACAGATAAATAAATTAAACTGAATAAACGAACAAAACCCAACGTGGCAACGCCCAAAACAAAAAGTTTACTAACAATCAAATGATTAGAATTAACTTAAAAACAAAATAGTAATTCTGTGCATGTCACGACTCACGAGTCACGAGATGTTCATGATCCCGACTCCTGAGAATACTCGACTGCCCGAATTACCTCTTTTGCCCCTCCTTTTTTCTGGGACATTATTATCCAGTTCAAGTGGCCACGTGTCTTTCTTACAGTCTCCATTACCAAAAGTGGGCCCCGCCACGAACGTGAGGTTTTGTAATGACATTGACAGCGACACACCACGTGATCGCATGAGTCATGACACACCCATCCAACTAAATTATCTTTTCAAAACTAATTAAAAAAAAAAACAAGATTAAATCAACAAATAATAGAAAGAAAAGACTATTATTCATCTTCCAAACAGCCCCTTTTGCTGGCGGTTGCTACCGGCGATATTGGCATGACGTCATCTCCGGCGTTGGCCTCCATCTTCTTAATGTTCTGTTCATGGTAGATTTTTCTCAGTCTCTCTATTTCCTTCTTCAGTGCTTCTTGATGGGCTTAATTTGGCCATTTTTTTTTCCAAAATTGAACAAACATGTCAGACAATTTGATTACTCAGATTTACTTGAAAAGGTAAATTTTTTGGGCATGTTCAGAACAAAAAATAAGACACATCTGTTTTTTTCACATTTACAACTTAATATATAAAAATGAGCAGAATTGACAACTTGATGTAGGGAACGTACGAGTGGAAAAGATAAATGAGATACTCTCTCATGTAACACACAAAACTTACAATATCTGATTCAATTTTAAAATTCACCCCCGTAACACTAAAGCAGAAGAGTCTTGTATATAAGACTCTCAAAACTAATAATCTTAACTTGTTCTCTAAGCTAACTACTAGTTATTAAATAATAATAATAATAATAATAATAATAATAATAATATTAATAATTCTACATCATTCTCCTCCGGTTTGGAAGGCTTCGCCCTCCAAGCCGACGTGCTCCCGTGGCTGGTGTGGAGGCCAACCCATGGTAATAATCCCCGTCGTTTTTTCCTGTCGAACACGAGGGAGAATTTTATTCTCTCTCTTTTCTCTTCTATTATTTATTTTTATTATTATGTTAGAGTAGTTTTTATTTCTAGTCCCGGGGAAGTTGAACCCTACTATTTGACGATGTTTGATTAATTTACGTGGTTGATAATTTCAATATCTTTTTGGAATTGCTTGTGTTATTTTGAATAATTCACCATGATGTGTTAGTTTTGTTTAGATTGATCACCTAGATTAGGCTTTTCATATTTACATCTGAATTAGGCCTGCAATCCGTAATTGTTGTTGTGTTTAATTCATAAGAGGTAACCGGAAGATGGTAACTATCGGGGATAACACGGCCTAATTAAGTGAACGAACGCGGTTGAGTTCACTAATTAGTCTAGCCTATTTTTCTAAATCGTAAAGCGGCTAATTGTATTAAATCTTGAAAACGTTTTTCTAGACTGTACAAGAAGTCAGGTTTAATCGTCGAGCGTCTCGCGGTTAAATTAAAAATAAGGAAAAATTCGGGTAATTGACCGTGTCGTTGCCTAGGGCTAGTAATTTCATAAGATAGCGAGATTTGGTACCAGAATTGATTAGACGAGTCAGTCGAGGGTGTAGACGGAACCGTGAACTAGAAGCTTTCTCTTATTTTATTTATTTTTATTTTTATTTTCTTGTTTAGATTTTATTTATTTCATTAGATTTTTAGGTAGTTTAGTTATTAAATCAAAACCCCCCCATTTATCGCTTTTTATAATTTCAATTAATACGAGAAAATTCACGATTTGATTCACACTCCTCGTGGGATCGACCCTTGCTCGCCACTACTACTAGTTAGTAGGGGTTAGTTGAGGAAAAATATAAATATTAATTTTGCCGCGTTGCGACGCGCGGTCAAAGACTCTCAAAACTAATAACCCTAACTTGTTCTCTAAGCTAACTACTAATTATTAAATAATAATAATAATAATAATAATAATAATAATAATAATAATAATGATTCTACACCACAACTTCACCGAGTAATTTTTGGATTGCAGAAATTGTCTACTAATTAATGGATCGTAAGAGTAGAGAAATGTGTAAGAATATTGGTTTGGCATAATCCGAAAAACCTAAGTGTTTTCTAGAAGATTTTCTTGTTAGGCAAGCAAAATAAATTAAAGGGAAGTTTTCTATTTATTTACTTGTTAATTAATTAAGTTCCTATTATTTATTATTAATAATATATGTTATATATTTATTATAATGTGTATTATGGAGTCCTAAACCTTTAGGTGAAGGATTACATAATATATACCTCATATATTTACTTACCATATATGTCACATGCATTAATGAGCTTGATTCTATGCCATAATTAGTTTTCTCTTTTTTGTAGGACAAGGAATAGATGGCAAGGACTATGAAAGGATGAGCAATTAGTGCATAAGGAATTTTGTACGTTCTCTAGAAGATCCAAGGAGGATTTGGAAAGATTCACCACAAGATCTTTGAAGATTTGGAAGATCGGCCATTTTAGAAAAGTCATGTTCTTACAAGAGTCTGGAAACACGAGATTTCCATTGGAAACTCAATCATGAAGATCTCCAAATCACATACACGAATTTTACATCATGGAAACTTACTTTACATGAAGGATTTCGTTCAAGATCTGAAAGGAATCAATTGGGAAGGAAATTGACTCCAAAAATTAAAAGGAATAACTTGGAGAAGACTCCATGCCTAAGGAGTTGTATATATACCCTACTTGAAAATCGAATCAAGGTTGCTGAGATCATTATTATTCACATACTATTCGAGCTTCAAGTCTTCTTTTATTTTAGTTCTCGATTCAGTTTTTGGTGTTCTTACATATCGAAGAACTGAAGTCGTTTTGTTTTCTTTTCTTCGTTTTTCAAACATTATTGTGATCAACACTTAGGGATTAAGTGTTATTTAAAGTCCACGGGACGTGGCCGGAGAAGTAGTTGGTAGATTCGAGTATAGTTGTTGGTTAGGCTAGAAGGGGGTTCTAGTTGCTGTAATTCCAAAACTATACGCATGTGCACAATCGAGTTATCAATGAAAGAGTTCTGAGGGGAAGTGGGACGCTTCCCTGAAGAGTTTTTAAATCTTCGATTTATTGTTTCCGCTATTCTAGTTGTTTATTTGTGTTCTAACAACATTGAGAGCACTTATCGTAAAATACCTACGTTTCAAAATGCTATGGAGCCAATGGTTGGCTCCATAGCTGGGGCCAACCACCAATGTTATAGTGCCACGTAGGCCATGTGAAAAAATAATTAACTAAACATGGCCTACGTGGCACTATAACATTGGTGGTTAGCTCCATAAAGGAACCAACCATTGACTCCATAATATTTATTCGTAAGAGTATGCCTAATTACGTTATTTAGTGATGAGGATTTTCCTGTGATTAGTTAGTAAATGTTTTATGAATTTCCAAACACATTGTGTTTCATTCTATTATTAGTTGCTCGCCATACTAGCAATTAGCAAAATTTATAATGTACGCGAAATTCATATTAATATATTTTATAATTTTACCTATAGATGCATTAATATATATTCTATAATTCTATTAGCAAGGCAACTTACTTTAAGGAATATTTAGTTAACGTGAGACATTTTATATGATATTGTATTGCACGATTAATCCACTGTCCATGAAACAGTGAAATTGGAACACAGTGTAAGCAAAATGTTACATGCTTACATAAATTGAACTTTTTTAGGTGTGCCAAATATTTATTTAATTTTTCATATTAATATAGTTTCATTAGCAATAAAAAAAACATAAATTAAGGAAAATTAAGATATTTATTAGGGAATACTCTCACCATCTTTGAAAATTTTGTCCTGAGCCAAAGCTGCTATTCTCTGCTTAAGAGCGCTGTTATCCACATTCAATAGAAGCCTTTGATGGTCCAAAAATGCGACCCTTGGAGACAATGCTGATACCTCAGTCTTTGCATTCATNAGAAAAATCAGTAAAAATAAAATAAAATAGGTTAAGTAATTAAATAGTTGTATATATACCTGTAGTGATGTTACGCTCCTTTCAAGCTCGGAAATGTAATGTAGCTTTCGCACTCGAGACCTCTGAGCTGATTGCCGATTTGCCAAGATTCTAAATTTAGGGTTTTGTCGAACAAATTAATATATAGTTTATATATAATAATGCACTAGGTGCTAACTAGCTACTAATCACGTTATTAAATTAATTAATTGACAATTGAGTCTAGAAAATAATTGCATTAAATTAATTGATTATGTATGGCTTAAATAATATTACTACTTTTGCTGCTACGTACAATTATTCGTATTTTCGTCTTCCAAAATTGAGCTAATTGTATAGAGTTTCGTGTAACAGTAAATTTACAATATGAAATGTCATATTCTAAAACAATAAAACTAAAAATATCAAATTTATAGTAGAATTATGCATTTTTATTATAAATTTGGGTTCGGCTAATTTATAACAAAGTTATAACTCTTACCATACAAATTCAAATGCATAAATGTTGCTATTAGGCCGCCTAGCTATAAGATAATTATACTTTCTTTTAAAGAAAAATGCATACTTTCTCCTATTAATTATTTAATTGTCATAACTTTGTTTATATCGTATAAATAAGTATGATATATGAGTGTGAAAGTATGTACATATATTAAAAAAAGTATTGTTATAAGACTTTGGATAGGTGATTAATATCTAATAATTTCCTCAATTTAGTTAATTACTTCATCAAAAACACTAATTAACTTTTAGTTAATCCGAAATTAGTCTGTATCAGAACAAATCATTGGTACATAAATAAAAATTATCTACAAATTAAATAGTGATTTGTGAAAAATTAATGCTAACCGCTTGATCCGTTTTGGATCCACGATATTGGCCACGCCAGAGTAATTACTTTCAGAGGATTTATTCCCCGCCGGCTGGGAACATCCGCCGTCCGCCTCCCCCAGCTCGTTCTTCAGCCGCGCCGCCGCCGCCCTCCTCTCGTCCCCGTCGCTGTTCGACGGCGTGGACGGGTCGGACGGCGGCCCAACCGCCTCGGCCTCCGCCACCGTGACCTCGTCGGAGAACATGCTCCGCAGCTGCTCGTCGTCCAGCCCCTCGAACCCGGCCGCAGCTGACTCCACGAAGGCGATGGGGTCGCTCACCGTCCGGCGGTGGGCCCCACGTCGCCACGCGGAGAAGTCGAGAAACTCGTCCGCCCAAGACCAGGTGTGGGACATCGGGATCGGAGCCTTGGGCGGCAGCTGCTCCATGCACTTTCGGAGAGAATGGAAAAAAAGTGTTCTTATTTGGAATAAGAATGGAATTGGAGGGCTCGAGGAGAATTAATTGACAAAATTGATTCGATAAATTTTGTAGTTTGTTCGATGGTTATAATTAACTGCTGCCGTTATTAAGGGGAGGTCACGTGGGTGGCCGGAGGAGGTCACGTGGGATAAAAATGGGGACAGCTGGCGACAGGCTGGCAACGGCTTTTTGGAGCGAGAAAGTGAGGAGAGAGAGAGAGGGTAAGCCCACCATGTGCCCATGTGGCTTTGGGCCTGGGCCTGGGCCGTCTTAAACCAAATAATGAGTTTTCATTAATTTAAACGAGTCGAGTTTGATTTTATTAAAATTGTTGACTCTTTCTTTGCAAACTTGTTTGTTAATCCTGCATGATAATAAGCTCGAAACTGACGTGTTTGGCTTGATTCAACTTTAACAACACATTATCGGAAGCTTAGGGTGGATGATTTTGGGCCCACAATTTTGTCGGATTTTATTCCATCGAGTCAACGTCTTGGTCAACCTGGTTTTCATCGGGTCTCAAATTACCTTGTCCAAAGGTACATACCCAATCAACCCAGAGCCAAAATTGATTCGTGTTGCAAAGCACTGATAATAACATTGTAATTAGCTAATTTAGGTAAAGAATATCATTATGTGGGATTAGGACATTATTAGACTGATTTAAATAACAATAGCTAATCCCTATGACACCGGATAATGTGGGATTAGGACATTATTATAATTAAAAGGAAAAAAATTAAAATAAGAAGTGGAATAATACTATAAAAACTTAGTAGGGTAATGAGTTGTGAAACAAAATGAGGGCACATGAACTTCACATGTGCACTGTGTCTTAGGCCCTCTTTGTTTTGTCCCCAAATCAGATTCACATGGCCCTTATGTATCTCTCTCCATATTATTATTATTATTATTATTATTATTATTATTATTATTATTATTATTATGATTATTATTATTATTATTATTATTATTATTATTATTATTATTATTATTATTATTGTTGTTGCCCAAAAACATGACCATTTGGTTATTAAATTTGGAATTATGGGAACAATAATCATTAGCAAAAAGCCCAAAATAGGCCACATTCTGTCAACACAATTATGGGCCTACCCTATTTTTTTTTTCTTTTCCAACCTTTTTTGTGTGTAAATGCACAAACAATACTTTTCAAACGTGGTTTAAATATCTTTGTTAAACGAATCGTGTCATTCAGTTGCTCGTTAAATTTTGGGTTTTATCATTTTATTTGATAAATGAGCATAGGTCGAATTATTTATCAAGTCTTAACAAGTTAAATTAATTTAGATAATATTTTAGAAAATAACGTAAAAGAACTTTTACTGGTAGCAATAAAAATGAAAATAAGTCATTCAAATATTTGTTATCTACAAATGTCAAAGTTCATTGGCATTCAATCTTTGGTCTACTTACAAACACATCTTATTTATTAGATTATCAAGTATCTTTAAGATATAAATTCAAAGAACAATTTAAATGATATCAAAGTGAAGTTTATATTATGATAGATTTGGTGTCTTTGTACCACATAGAGCCTAAAATATTAATTAGAAGCAATTTGCAACATTCAAATATGAAAATAAATAATAATTATTATTATTATAAAAATCGATTACAAAATGAATACTACGAATAAATATTCCGATCAATCAATTGGCCACGCAAATAACCTCGCACTCATATATCAACAAATGAATGAACTTGTATACATAAATAACTGTTTTACATAATATTGACATTTTAATTTTTACTTATTTATATTATTACACTACGACTACACTAATCCATTAAATCTCACTGATCTATTGAAGTGCATGGGGAAAGAAAAAAGAAATTAGAAAAAAAAAAAAGAAGCTCATATGTTGATTGGGCTATAACGGCCAAACGTGTGAAGGCCCGCCTCTGCACTGATGTTCTACCTTGGCCCATGTATAAACGGGCCTAGAGTCCTAAAGACAAGCTTACATAACGAAAAAATTACACCCTTGGCATTTTCCTTCTGATTTCTGGCTAATACACACTTTAGTCCCAAAAAGGTAATTTATCTTCCATTTAATAGTGTTTAAGAAGTCGCTAGGTGTCTGCTAGGCGTTCGACTAATGTCTAGAAATCAAGATTAAATAACTTATTTTTATTTATTTTACTAACTACAAAATAAACTTTTCTCAATTTAATCAATACACCTAACTCCAAATAATAATATTAATATATTATAAAAAAAAATGATAACAAAATAATGTAATTAGTATTACAAAAATAAAAATAAAAAATTACCGCCGAGCCCGCCTTAACACCGTGTGGCAGATTTTTCAACCGATTTATGCAAATCAGAGGCGGCCACCTAGGCCGATTTTTAGTACAAATATTCATACCTTTTCCCTATCAATTTTAATATCAATAATTTGTATAATTAAACATAATTTGTGTCAACCATTATTCTATATTTAATTATTCCAAATTAAAAAAGCAAATCCACTATTTAATTAACTTTTTCTTCCATTGAAATATTTTTTATCGAATCGCACCATGAGACAATGGTTTCAACTCTTCATTTCATTTCATTCTCATAATCATTCCATTCCTACAAAATTCTATTCCATCATACCAATCATGCCATTAGATTATAAGTTAGATCCTATTATCCATTGGATCATACACTCGTATACAAAATATATGTTGATCCAATAAATTAAACAATTTAATTTAATGTATTTAATGCTTACATTCAAGAAATGTGTTGCAGTGTGTTTGTGTATTTGGCATGCTACAAAGTGTGACTTTGTCTATAGCTAGTAAAACGGGCTATTGAAATCAAATTGAAGTCGAGTTATATGCTCACTCAAAATAGATAATTGACTTCATAATTATAGATTAAATGGTAATTTTATTAAAAAGTATATTGACTTTAAATTTTATTAATAAATTAATATTTATGATTAATCTACATAGCAGTTAATGTAAACAATTTAATAAGGTTGGAGTGGCAATGGCGACCGAACGGCCGCTTCTAAACATTACATTGACCTATGGTTTTTGACTTTACTTCGCTTCGCTTCTAAGTTGGGTCTTAGAAGTTGAGATGAGAAACTCAGGAACGACTGCCAAAGCCGCTGCTGATGAAGATCAGACCAGAAGCAAAAAGTGTTGATCGTAGACCAAGCAGAAGCGAAGCGAAGTTCATTCATAAATTTCTTTAGGTCATAAGACAAAGGTTCGATGTAATTAACCTCAGTGTGTTCTGGATACACATCCCACCCGGTGTGGCTTCTCATAGGTCATAAGTAATAAATAAATCATTCGCCAATACTTCTGACTTCACTGTGCTTGTTTAATAAGTTATTAATATAATAATAATAATGTTCCTAAAAAATATAAAATTGTTGTAGTCGAGACCAATCGAGTTCTGGAAGAATTTTTTATTAACAAAATAAGCGGATAAACAAGTTCAATATCGGTGTGTTTATAAATATTTAATCAGCCAAACTTAAATTTTAACGAATCGAAAAATAGAAAATTAAATAAAGGTACATTCTCAACTATTAATGAGCTAACAATCGAGTTTGGTTCGATTCATTAACTAAATAAGTTCGAGATCGACTCGTTTATAAAATAAATTAAATTAAATTTCAACCTTAGTAAGTGAAGTTCACGATAAACTCGTTTGACAAATTGAATTAAATTTCAACCTTAGTAAGTGAAGTTCACGATAAACTCGTTTGATTTAAAAATTTGTTAGTCTTACTCTTACCTTCCAACGTTACAAAAGCCATGATTTTCTCGAGAATTACTTTACCGTGTTTTCTTTTTTTAGCGTGTTGCCCACAGCCCCACTCAAGAACACGAACAAGGAAAAAAAATCTTTTTTCTCATTTTCGTATTTAACCACAAAATCTGTGTGAGATATTGAACAGATTGGAGATGACGGGCGGTTATCGGGCCGACGACGACTACGATTATCTCTTCAAGCTGGTCCTGATCGGCGACTCCGGCGTCGGAAAATCGAATTTGCTGTCCAGATTTGCTCGGAACGAGTTCAGCTTGGAGTCTAAGTCCACCATAGGCGTTGAATTTGCCACGCGCAGCATTCGCGTTGATGATAAGATCATCAAGGCTCAGATTTGGGATACAGCCGGGCAAGAGAGGTAAAATTTGCTGTTTTTGCTTATAGATTTGGTTTTCATGAGCAAAATCTGTTCATCTATGCTGCTGCTCGTTTTTTTTTATTTTTTTGTTGGGGAATTTTAGCTGAATTGAGGGGTTTAGGGTTTATATTAGCGACATTGATCTTAT